AAAACCCCCCCCCCTTTAAAAAAAAATTTTTTTTGGGGGGGTGGGGTTAATTATTAAAAACACCGGGGGGGGGGGGGGGGGGGGGTATTGCCAGACTTCAGTGGTTTCTGGAAAACAGGTACTCTAGGGAAGGGGGATTTGGGGAGTTTTCTCTAGTATAGGGTAGCAAAATTCAGCTGAGCTAGCTCTGGTATGGGTTAGGGGTCCAGGGTCCCAGCGGCACATCCCCACCCAGAAATTCCTAAAGAACCCCCCCGGGACTATACACGACAGATGTGCCTACGTAAGCCCCTTAAAACATGAGACATATTTGCCATCTTCCCTGATTCCATAAAATGTCTTTGAATGAGTGCACAAATCGTCTCTGTACCTGACCACCGCCAATATATATATCACAAATGCAAGAAAAGAAAATATGTCATTTCGTAGCCTGTGTACAGACTTTCCCCCTCTCTCAGGAAAAATCGGGAGAGGAGACGTCTGTGAATCGCCGTCGTTAATCGTGTTCCGGTATACATTTGCATAAATTATTTTTTTGTTCCTTCGCTGACAGTTGAAAAGGCACATGTAGGTCGGAAAATAGCTCTGGCGTCTGTTCACAGCAGCTGAACATCTTCACGCAATGTCCACCCAAAAATCCAGATATAATATCTCTGATTACAGTCAAGCCAGGTTAAGCGTACCTGCCAAGATCCCATTAATGCATTTATTATTCGAAAGTTGAACCGTTGGTAGTTGTAGATTTCAGATTCATCTCTGTGTGCATTCTTGCATGCGTAATGAGCCGTGAATTCACACGCGATTCAGTTATGAAATTTGTAGCAGCTCAGTTTCCCTGAATGTTATGTAAATGTCTTCTAAGACATTTAATCCATTCAAAGATTTTCAATCTGACCAAATGCAGAGAAGTTCTCTTAAAATATTCGCTTCTCATTACGCATACAGGAATGCCTATTTAAATTTGACACCCTGAGTTACGGGAACGACTGACGGATTCATTTTTTCAAATAATCAATTCATTAACAGAATCTTTTTGGGGTAAGCTTGACCTGCTTTGGCTGTTAACGTTGGATTTTGTATGCCTTCTCTTTTATTTACAGTACCGACCGGTACAGACAGACGCACCCGCAACCGGTGGAGCAAGCATTGGTGAAGGCTGAGCTTTTCCCCAGGGAATCTATTCTGAGGTTCATTCACCAATCACAACACCGGAAATTATTTGCGTCATGGCATTAACATTACAACCAATCAGAGGCTGTCCCCAACATTCCGGGGAAACGGGAACACGATTATCGTCGGCGATTCACAGACGTCTCCTCTCCCTATTTTTCCTGAGGGAGGGGGGACGTCTGTACACAGGCTAGTCATTTCGCTTTGCTTATTTTATGCATTAAGCACTTCTAGGATGGGTGAAAACAATTTTTATCTTGTCTGTACCGCAGGATTTGAGTAAGCGCCATGATTGGCCTGTTGCAAAATCCATTGTCCGATTGGCCAATCAGGTTGGGGGGAAATTAGAAAAACACTTACGTGAATTCGTTGAGTCAGTTGGGGGTTATGAACAAGGATCTCAGCGCTGCTTCGCAAAGTTACTATTCGAGGGTAGATAAAGTCGACGATGCAGGCTAATGGCAGAATTTGTTAATCAGTTTATGTCTTTACGACAAATGTAACGACTCGTCCTGCTGGAACGGCAATTTGCGTCATCCGAGCGGGAACCCCAGGTCAATAGGGCCATACCACGGTCTTGATTAGATCCAAAATCATCTGGCTGGCCTTCAATCCAGTTTGTATATGTCACATCAGAGCCGTCCACCCACTCGAAAGATCCGTGCGAAAGATATTGACGTAAGGTTGCTATTCAAGCTTTCACAAACCTGCTTTGCATCATTCCAAGTCACTCGGCTACTGTCATGAATTCTTTAAAACATGAATTGTTGAAGCACAGCCATCCTGTTAGGTACAGAGCTAAAACACAAGTGGTTACAAAAACATTGATTAAGGGGATATACAATAACGATAGGTAATGAAAAGAATTGCTTGCGGAAAATCTTTAAAAAATTCACCAACATTACCGAAGATCATGCAGCGTACCATAATTTATTTACACAGCTAAATGGTATTTTAAGTGGACAAAATAATTGACCTACATTCTGCTGTGTCAAGGCGTATATAAAAATGGTATAGGGTCCCCGTCAATTTTTGATAGTTAACGTGCCTCTGAACAATAACAAGTGCCGCACCGAATACAATTGAGTGATGTGAAATGGGGCAATAAAAACTCGGTTTTCAATTTATTGGCATTTAAGCTAAAATTAGGGGTTACCTTTGAAAACTCCTTGTAATTTTCCGGATAAAGACACGATTAAACTTTACTGCCAATATTTTAGATCAAAATTTTAAACCCCAAATCTAAATATTAGTGCAAGAATGAGTTGATCTATATCAGAGATTTTGATCATGAAGCCGTTCCAAAAACTCGCAGTCGTTTATTATCAGGTTTAAAAACTCG